CACACGCCCCCCCGCCCTGCACCTGCCGAAGCGTCGGCTGGAGGGAGAGGCGCGGGTGACCTGGCCGGGGAGGCGGCCAGGGGACAGCACGCTCTCCGGAGCCCTTCTCAGCACCTGCTCAGCCACACGTGGCTGTGCGGGAAGTCGGGCCGCGGGCGTCATTGACCGCGCAGTTTACAGCAGAACATAAGCTGCGGACCGCAAAGAACTCACTTATGAATGTGACACGTCAGTCAAGGCGTAGGCTGAGAACCTGACATTGGGTATCACTTAACTTTCAAAAATAAACCTGTAAGATAGTTGCTGTCACACAGATGCTACAGACGAGGGAGCCGAGGTTTAGAAAAGAGAAGTAACTTGGTTTTAATGAGCTGAAGAAGATTTAAACATTTGCACCATTGAAATTAACTTGTGACTGGAGCGCCATTTACCTACAGATCTGGGAGGTGTCTGGATTTTGATCAGCAGTTGTAAACTGAGATTGATGCCAAGGGTCAGAGTTTTGTGTCCTGTCACTGCAATTCCACCCTCACACAAACCTGACACAGAGGCGGCTCAGGAGAGCCCAGAAGCCGGGCTCTCACTCACTTCTTCTCCTTCTAACTGATGTTCACGTTATGTTTATGAAAGCAACGGAAGCTGAGTTTAGCATAATAAAGCTGTAGTGGGATCAGTCATTTTTATAAACATTTATTTTATTCTATAGTCAATTGTTAGTCTAAGAAGCCAACTGTATTCTTAGGTTGATTAATCTGACATGATTTTCCTTTCAGACAGTAATTCAGACTCATTTTAAATATTGTCAGCTAACTTTCAACTTCCCTTTAACTTTTAGATCAATGAAATACAGGCCTTCCAAATGTTAAGACGCAGTGAAGCGCTCTAATGTAAATAGCTCTCTGAGTTATTCAACTTCGTATTCAAATAAATACGATTATTTTGTCCAAACAGTTCTGACTTAATTCACTTAGATAGAAAGCTTTTCTTAAAACTGCCTTTAATATTAGTAAAAAAAACAGATCTATTACATAACATAAAAGAAATCTAATAAAATATGTATTTTCCTAAAGTTGGCAAGTGATAGTACCAATCATTTTCACATAAAAGTTAAATGCAGTCAAGATTATCTTCCATAACAGACACAATGAAAGAAATACATGATTCTTCACGAGAGTTTTTCCATCTTACCTGCTGGTTTACAGGAAAGTTTCTGTTGATTTTTTTAATCTGCAATGATAGATAAATAATCAAAGTGAGAACAACAGAGATGAAGTAACATAAGGCCCCTCAAATTTTATGAGAACCTATTTTCAGTGAGTTAACCTAAACCGGTATCTATACTGACGCACTAAAATCACTGCCTATCAATCACCTCTTATGAACATTTCTAAATTAGCTATCAAATCGTTCCAATTTCATATGCAAACATTTCAAAGGACTCCCACCTAATAATTTTCTCTTTATGAGAAACAAAAGCCTATGTTTCACACAATTTAAAATGACAATCTACTAAGAGCACAGAGAGTAAGTTTTCAAAATGTTATTTTCCACTTTGAAGTCATATTATATTCAATTGTTACAGCATGTAAGAGAACAGAGGAAATGGAATATTCCAGCGCTAAAGGATGATGTGTGTGTATCAAAATACTTTCAGCTAGGACCTCGAATAAAATAAATATTTACATGAAGACCATTTATTGAACAACATGTCTTACGAATTTAAAATAAATTTTCAGAGAAAGAGTTTCCTCTGTATTAAGTCATGTAAACTAGCTTAAAAAACCAAATGAAAATGAACATCAGATTTAGACAAATGACCTTACACAAGGTCTCTGTTCAACAGAAGTTTTACTGATTAAAACCGGTTTTCACCTTTCGCTCGGTTTCCAGGGACCCCTGAGAAGCGCTCTCTGCGGCTATGATCTCACATCAGACTAAGACAGGCCATTTCACTTAGAAGTTATTTCGGTGAATTGTTTTATTTTTTCCTTTTTTTCTAGTTTTAGTCCCCTTTGTCTTACTGAGAAATGTGAATTAAGAGGAAATGTAATGAACAGGGTGCACAAGGCTGGAGAAGCACCAAACGACTCAGCTAAGAAAACAGACTGACTGGGGGGACACGTGTCTCTTAAAACACGGAAGAAAATCAAATTTGAGAAATTGATGTGATTATGTGATTTCCACAGAGCCATGTACAAAAAGCCTGTCTTTCTTGCATTGATCCGACCATTTCAAAGCAGTTTTTACTCTGGTGAGGAATCAGCTCAGGAAATCTCTGAAACTATTGGTGCCTTCAGCTAAAATCAGGATAGTTCAGAGATGTAGACAGAAAGAGCAGGACTCTAATCATGTTTTACTGACCAATCAAACAATCCATGTTGAGAACGTTGTGGAACTATGCCTTTTATTAGGTTTTAAGGATTGCTATAAAATTCTACCAATGTTTTATGTGAACCACTGTCTTCGAGGATGTACTGTCCAGCCTTGTGTCTTTCAGTCCCCCAACATGTATTTTAGTTCTCTGAATAATGCAGAACGTATGACTGAAGGGAAGTAACTGACACCGCTTTGCCTGACATTTACTTAAAATGGCATTCAGTGAAAACCGCCTTTCAGAATCAGGCCTAGGCCATCAAGCTTGCTGAAACGGACTTCCCCCAGGTTTGTGCAAGGAAACAATATACAGTGCTCCATTTCCGGTTTTTTCCTGAATCATACTGGAACATCTTCTAAACAGGAATTCAGTACCTCGAATGAATTGGATAGGCAGGTACTCTCAGATTTATAGCACAGACACGTGCACACACACACACACACACACACACACACACACACTGATGATACACGGTGCTACGTTTTTATGACGGGGACAACCTGGGGAGCCCTATGAGGGTTTCCTGGTTAATCTGGGTTCATGCGGTCTAACCAGAGAATACGCTGAGTGATTTTAACTTGAGATTGAAAAATAGTTACCTGAACAAAAGTTTTTATTAAAATGTGTGAAAAGACCAAAAGAAAGCAAATGAATTCTTTTAAGTCACCACAGTGTGAATGAGAAATTAAGCAAACTGAGTCTCTTTACAGCCCTCTAGGCCTGGAGGTAGCAGGGTAAATGTGTAAAGCAGTGTTCCATTAAAAATGGCCTTTTCCTGAGTTTTTCCTCTTCATGCTACTTAGCGTTATCTAACATTGTTTATTTTAATTTATTTTTGTGTTATGATTCCCTGAAAAAAAGTTCATGAAATCATAGATTTCCACCTGTTAACATCACTCTTTTAAAAAGCTTTTTTACAGCGGTCCTGGGGACTGAGCCCAGGCCCCAGTGTGCGCTGAGCACACGCTCTACCGCTGAGCTGCCCCACCCCGGTTTGCACCGCTCCTTGCACTCAGAAGTCCACTAAGTCTTGTCCGCCCAGCTCGGTGATGAGCTAGTGAAGAGACAGGCGACTCGGAACAAAGAGTCTCACTCTTGTATTTGACTAACTTAGTCCTGAATGTAAGTTACTTCTAAAGAAAAAAAAATTCTAAATTCTTAGCTTTGAATGTCTATAGTACTTTCAGTGGCTTCCAAACCTAGAGTTTATGCCGTACATAGAAGAACAGGGAGGAAGGAATGCTTGATGATGTAAAAGCAAGTTGCCAGCTCACAGGGAGAACAGTCTCTGGGCTGAGACAAAAATACGGGGGGAGAGAGAGAGGCTCAGAGAGGAGAGAGAGGCTCGGCACTCTGGCCAAGGCGTGAAGCGCACATCGGTCTGGGGAATCCAGGTGGGAGCGCTCTGGGCTCCTCCCCAGGTGCTCACGGAATCCCCAGGTCCAGGGTGGTTTCCAAATGACAAAACAGCTGTAACCAGAGAAAGCGTTTCAGTCTGAAGGAGGGAATCCAAGCTCTTTCACGCCTGACTGGTAAGGAAATGACTAGGACGCTGGAGATCCCGGCGGGACACACACGTCAACGAGTGCATCACAGACAGAGGGTGACGCCGGGCCACCTGGAAGGAACTTCACAGAGAGGTCCCAAGGACAGGGTCTCCGCAGGGAGGAGGGAGGAGGGGGGACAAGGAGACCTGCAAGCCCAGAATTTCCCCTGATCACTGACTTCTGACGCTGGACTGGCTGGGACACTGGGAACCTCCAAGACAGATCACAGCGCTGGCAGAAAAGGCAGATGGAGGGCAGCGAGCCTCAGACTTCTGTTCACAAAATTCTTATGAAAACTGACCTGAGTGCTTATCCAGCAAATCACCACACACAGCCTTCTGAGCGGGACTCCTCCCACCTGCTGCACCTGACCTGACAGTGACCTACATCCTGACCTTGACAGTGACCTACACCCACTCAGCTGTGGAGGACATTCTGGCATTCAGTCACCAGGTTCATCATGTGACAACAAGAGACGTCATAGGTGAAGGTGCGCACTCCTGTAACTTTCTTCTTGATAAAAGACGGATGAGTAACAGCAGTATTTCAGGTCTGCCCTTCTGTCACACTTACACCCTCCGTCTAGGGTAGCATTTTTAAAAAGCAAATCTTCAATTGCCATTTCTTAATAAATGAATTAATCCCTGCCCAGAATCCCATATCCCTCAGACCCTCGTGATCTGGCCCCTGCCCCTCACAGGAGTCCCCGGCGTCCCGGGTCCCGGTCTGTACAGACCTCGGGGACACACGTCTTGTGGAGGTTTTGCTCACAAGCTCCCCGGACCCCCACCTGCTCGCTCTCCTTCCTTCCTCCCTCCCTCTCTCTCTCCCCTTCTCACCGGGTAAGAATCTTCATCTTTTTTATTATGTCTACCTAAGGTGCACAGAGATTAAATGGGATTGGTTAAGTTGCCCCGGGACATGGCACAGCCTGGTTCTGTCTGACACCACAGGCTTTGCTCTTGGACACACATTCGAGAACCATGTCGCCATGAAAGCATTTCTGAAAACCCACGCAGAAGTGGTCAGTGGCCTTCCCTGTGGTCCTGCCTGTGGGTCCGGCTGACTTTGCCTTGTTCTCGGTGCAGGTACTTCTGACCTCCCTGCACCGGAACCTTAACCGCAGACCGTCCTTCCCACCTCTTCTGCCCTCGGCCTAGCTCTGGGCCCGTGTGACCCCGCATGCCCTGTCAATCACAGCCAGATGGCTGGCGGGGAGGGCTCAGGGGGCGTCACGCGCTGCTCCCACCTTCTCAGAATCCCGGACCTGAACCCAGACCGTGGCCCCAGCCCCTGCTGCTGCCGCCTGGACTGCAGCATATCCCCAGGGCTTGTGCAAGGCTCCCGGCTCTGACCCGGAAACCTGTAAGCGGCTCAGCCGTCCTAATTCTTCTTAACGAGGGTCAGACTTAATCCCCTTTCTTAGTCGAAGCTGAGAGCCTTGTAATTTGTCCACTTTGCTAATGATTTCCATATAAACAAATCAACAAAAATGCAAAACTAACGGAAGTCACTAGACTGGTATGTATTTTGGGCTACTGGCAGCAGCTGGCACTAAGACCTCACATCCTCTTGCTATGACAAAACATTTCATGTTCTAATTGTATCAGAAATTCTGGGAATTTAATTTTTATGACAAATCTCAACATAAAAAATTTGACATTTACTTTAAATTTTAGATTCACTGAGAACTAAAAACAAAAACCTGTTTGTGAACGAGACGTGGTTTATAAAAAATGACTAGGCAATTTTGAGGTGTTTGAATATTAAATACAGATAGTAGTTTTCCTAAATTTGAAAAAAAAAGAAATAGAAAAAATGCTTTTTAATCAACCTAATAAAAATAAAATTAATAATTAACCTCAAATGAAATACAAACATTCATTCCTGAATGTCAAATGTCTTCCAAATTAAAATATTATCCGGTGGTTTTATTCTACTGCAGCTATTTTTAGACCTTTATGGGCTTGTCAAGAGTAAATGGTCAAATACGCCCAAGGGCATTTAAGATTCATCTTGGGGGGCGGGTACACAATGCACTACAGAATCACAACAATTAAAACACGGTTTTACCACTGCAAAGCCAAACACACCAATGACTTTTGATAGAAAATCAAAAATTGAATCTAAAATATATATTATTGAGTTAATGATAAAGATTGTATTTTAAATTTGAACAGAAAACAATGCCGGGATAATTGGTTAATTCCTTGAAAAACAATGTATCACCCACTAACTCCCCCTGCGTCTGTGTTTAATGTAATGCACACACATTTAAGATGGGGCGGGATGGCCTGAGGCACACC